AACACACTAGTTCGCCCTCGCCTTCGAGCACGGCGAGACCAACACAACGGGTACACAAGGTACACCCGCGTTCCGGGGCGGTTCTCACCGCTCCCAGCCACCGATTAGCTAAATGCACAGTCGACGGCCATCGGGGTTTCGGTCCGAACCGCGACCTCGATGGCCCTTAGATGGCACACCATACTTAAAAGCACGCATGAGCACATGCATGGCCCTACCCACAGCGGAGGGCCCAAACCCGTGGGTTCTGGCTAGCCCACCGGTTTTAATAGTCTTGGGACTGAAAGTAAAAACATCAGTTGATACAAGATACAAGAAGGAGCTCATGCTTCGAGGGCAAATCAATTATGATAAATTTAATTTAATTGTTTCCTTCCGCCCTACCTGTAATCAATGCTGCCCTACCTCAAATTCAACTCTAGCTACAGCCCTGGTCGGACGGCATGCACAGGGTATCCCTGGGTGCGGATGTCGGTCTTCGCCTTGTCGACATCCGACTCTTTGGCGACGCTCTTGATAACTACCCGAAGCTTGCGTTCTTCGGGCAACGAGTAGGTGTGAAAACCTATCTTATTATCGCGCAAGTATTTCGTTACGCGGCGGAAATCGTCCGCTGTGTCAAGGTATACGCGGATACCCATTTGTGTATTTTTCGACCGGGAGTCGCGGCTATTGTGGCGTTAGTAATAGGGTCCCGTTTTACCCTTTGGGTACGGAACCTTAAAAATAGATAAACTATCAGAGGATTTCTTTAGTTTTGTGGAAAATAACATTTTCTTTTCAACTATATTGTTTTGGAGGAAAAAAAAATCCTTTTAAAATTATTTTATTGCAATTCTACTCGTATCACTATGATACTGACAATAACAGAAAGTTAAGCTTTTGACATAGAGTTCAACATATTTAAAAAATATAGTCAAAACATTTCTACTTATTTTAATTTAAAACATCATTATTTTATAATACAAATTAAATAATTAAACGTAAACTAATTCACTAAAATTGGTTTGTTAACAGCGAATTACGAAAATACAACTAATTAGCATTAAAATCGAGGAATAAATAATTCGAAGTTCTTTCTTATTATTGGTCGCGAAATAAGTAAAGGTATGGAAAATTAAAGCTCTACAAGAATCTGACAAAATCTAAACGGATACATATGCTCGCACCATTTTTACCCATTCCCGAAGATAATAAACCAGTTTCTTTCATAAGATGTATATTTACCAAAAGACTATCTAATGCGGTTCTGACTTACTAACTCGCCCTTTGGTGCAAAAGTTTATTCCATTATATAAAGAAATTTTATATAAACTCTTAGGCCTTTCGCCCTATCGCATGTAATAGTTAAACATCTTAATATTCCTACATCACTAGTATACATTTGTGTATGTACATAAAATTTTATTTTTACAAACATTTTATAGAATAAAATCAGTTCATAGAATTATTAATAGTTAAACTCATATATACATTATTAGAAAATTGTGTAAAAAATCAAGGTAAGCTAAACGATTAGTGGGTAATTAAACAGACATATTTATTCATATTCAAATAATTTCATTCGGTTTGAATTTCCTCAAGAAAACTTCTTATATATGTGAATACAAATATGAATTTCGCAACTGTACCTAATACGTTTGTAGAAAATAAATAGTATTGAAAACCTTTGTAACTTGAGCTGTGTAGTTGAATTTTGCGACACATGCAACTTTAACCCATCATTTTCTCATATGGCACAATAAAACAGTATTATCTTACAAAATATTTTTAAACTGACAACGAGCATAGAAAACATGTTAGTATTATACGTACTTAATATATAATATTCATTATATAATTTGCATTCCTTAAACTAAATTTGCAGTCCGGTGACAACGTAGTTACACACATTACCAAACTACCTACTAAAGTCATACACAATTATTTAAAAAATTACGTTTCAACTCTGATTGTAATATTTAAATTTACTTTGGTATGTTGTAGAAAATGTTTAATAAAGGAGACTTGAGTTGAATTGACAAATAAATTTAAAACTTACATAATTTATTTTCAAAAAATGAATGGCATTCATTAAGCGTAGGTACTTACTAGAATAAAGTAATGAGGTACAATAATAATGTACGGACGCTTAATAATTTTAAAATATAGAATCTTGGTCAATTAGAAAGAGCACTGAGTTCACATTTAAAGTGTGAAAATGACTCCACTAAGACAGAAATTAAGTAAGCCGAAAATACTAGAATATAGACTTTTTTGACAATTTGAAAACATAAGATTTTTTCTGAATTATGGGTGAGAATAGATTGTTATAAAAATATTCATTAATTTATTTGCATTGTCATAAAATAATAAGCTTCATTAATGACAAGAAAATACTCAATTAAATGATATGTTTTATTAGGCTTCAGTCTTCACAAGGTGTAGCGTTTTGGTATCTTTGATTTACAACTATAATAAATGTAGCAAAATAATCGTAATAAAATAAACAATAAATATCGGCATGCGCTTAGTTTAATTAAAAGTAGTAAAAAAGTATAGCATTAGATCTGAAAATAAAGCAGACGTATTTTATCAATATTTATTTTTGTCAGTTTCCTAATATTTAAGACAATTTACCAAAATGTTATCTATATCTCGGTAAAATAATTGAAATATTTTGTGACATGTTATAAATATTTCTCCTACTTAAATCAAATTATATGAACTTATCGCGTCGTTTTATTTATTTATTAACTATTTTGATATACCGCAAGTGTTAAAATTTTTGTTGCTTATATGGTCCCTGTAATAAATCCCTTGTTTGCTTCAAGGCATCTTTAAATATGTTAGTATCAATAATTTATTGTAAAAAATATTGACTAGAATAATAAAAAAGAAAGGATAAGTACTTAGTAGTTGTGGCTATAAATCTAAGAACTAACAATTGTTTTGTACATTGTAAAAGCAAAGATAATAAATGAAATTACAAAAATTTCCTGCGAGTTTCTAATATTTCACGATGAAATTTAAAAAAACCGACCAAGTGCGAGTCGGATTCGCGCACGAAGGGTTCCGTACCAATTACAATATAATTATAATTTAACAATATAAATTATTAAACTAATTGGTAAGTACGTATATAGGTTGCCCAGCAACCGTCGCTTAGCAACTGCCTCGCGTTTGTTGTATGGGAGCCCCAGCCCCATAAATATTTATTATTTTATTGCTTTATGGCAACAGAAATACATCTTTGAAAATTTCAACTGTCTATCACGGTTAATGAGATACAGCCTGGTGACAGACAGCGGAGTCTTAGTAATAGGCAATTTACTCTCCAATTTACTCTTTAGATACGGAACCCTAAAAATAACGCAGATCTCGTTTTCTGTTTAATTTTATTGCAATGAATAGCAAGAATAAATAGAGAAAATAGACTTATTTCTGACAAGACTAAATATATAATATAGACATATATTAGGTCATTCATTAACCCGTCTTATTTAAAACACATTTTTATTTTTTAATTAACATAAAATAAAAATTATTTACTACCAGGTGCATTATCTCAGTATTCCAAATGTATACAAATAAAATCATGTTATCTATCTAGTAAACTCAGCATTTTGGTTATTTTGTGTGTATGGAATGGACACATTTATATTATGTATAATAGATGCAAAACTTAGATCTATTTTGACAGAAAAAATTATAAGCAAATTTATTATTATTAAAAAGCAAAGAAATAAAATGACGACTAATGAAGTTTATCAAAAAGCTGTACTGTTTAAGGTAAGATTCAGCATTCAAATTAAAAACATTGGAACCTAAGCCTTAATACAAATATTTGACTTTATTTAAGTTTAAAGGAAAATTTGATTTTATGCAAAAATCTGATGCAACTGTCATTTATCAGATCTACATCCTTTTATCTGTTAAACTATTACTAAATGGTGAAAAACTAACTATCCAAATTTAACTATTCACCATTATGAATATATATTCCCTATGAATAAAAATATTATTTCTATCTTTATTACATGCAGATCACTAAAATATACTACTAAAACCACTATACTATGTGAGAATAACTAAATGAATTTCTTACTTTACAGAGAGCTATACAAACATGACTATTTAATCCAACAATTGTAATATATTCAATTACAACTACAACAAAATAGGGTGATTATGGTTATTTGCACCACTTAAAAACTACACCATTTTTTTTAAATTAATGGACAGAGAACAGGGTTGATAACTAGGACTACACATAGATCGATTCTATTAACTGTTATTATTTAACTACCACTTGTTTTATAATTGTGTTTACTAAATGTTCAAGAAATATTTTTAAACAATAATGGTAAAAGTAAAAAAGGTAAGAAAAACTTGCTGTTTATAAAGGCAAATAATTATTTTTAAGTGAAACAAGTATGTTCACCAAAAGTGAATCTTGAACTGAAAATTACTTGTGTAATTCCAAATCTTTTCACAAAATAGTATTGTATATTTAAATTTCCAATAATCTAATTATTTTAATGAGGTTAGAAAAATTAGTTGTTTATTAAATAAACTTATAATTGTTTGCATATTAATATTCAGGATTTCTTTGATTGAATATTTTTAACGCCAAAACTAATAAACAGCATTACAGTAAGGACAACTTATATTTGTATTTATATATAGCAGGACTTGTTGAACAGTTTAATATATAGTATTGAATGTTTGTAATAAACCATTTGGAATAAGTCATCAATCTGAAAAACATTCCTGCATAATCTTTTTCTTAGCACCTTATAATTACATTATTACATATACATATCACATTTAATTGCACATCTAGAAACATTTACAGATATAAACATTTATCAAACAAGAATTAAAATCTATACCATAATAAATAATTAATAAAAGTAGGAATTTAATTCAGATAAACAATGATCGCATAAACAATGTTCACATGTACAATGTTCACATAAACAGTATTTGCACTTTTGCACAAAATGCACACATCACTATCCACCAGTACCATTAAAATATTGAGCATGTTTAGTGTAAGGTGCTGCAATGTGATATGGTGGTGGTTGTCCCCTCATGTATGCTGCTTCTTGCACACTACCAGGGCTATGCTGATGACTTGCTGTATTTGGAGAATGAGAAGCTGGTATAGCATCATACAAGTCATATACATTTTGGCTTGTAGCAGCTTGGACATGACTAAAGCTACCATCATCAGTGACCAATGGGGTGTTAGTCATTCTGTATGGATTTGTTGCATTTGTATGCCCGGTAGGAGAATATAGTTCTGGTGATTGAGAAGGTATGTAAGTAGGACTTGAAGTTGAAATCCCATACACATTTGAATTTTGGGGTGATGAGTGATGTAAGGTTGCAGAAAAATGGTGACTATCACCAATAGGTTGTACATACATATTGTTATAATTGCTTAAATTTGGCATAGTTGTAGAACCTACAACTTGACTGACTGTATGTAGCCTGGAACTTGGTAAGTCATGATTTGCATGACTATGATAGCCATATGAATTGTAATTACGTTGACTATACATTCTTTCCTTACTACATGAATAAGTTTCACGGTCATATATATTATCATGGTAATTACTTGTTGCTATATTGTGGCACATAGCATGATCTTTTCTGGGATATGAATGTTCAAAGTTTTGAACATTATCAACTAAAGTTTGTGGGTCATAATGATTTTCATTAAAATGGGATTGCATTATTACTTCTTCTGCTGAAAGTCTATCTTGAGAACTAAGACTAAGTCTTTGAATGTGACTTTGTACTTCATCCGTGTTATTTCTGTAATTTATTTCATTTGTTGAATTATAGTTTTTGAGTTCTAAGTGGCTACCATACACATTTGACTGAGAACAAGAGTTTGACTGGCCAATATCATGTCTCTGATATTTTTCATTGTGTTTATTAGTGTAATTTCTTTGAGAAGGATTATGCTGTTCTACATTCTCAATTTTATACTCATTATTTGAAGCACCATTATTTTCAACGTAGAGAGCATGGTCAACACTCCTATAAGTTTTATCTTGCTCATATGCTAGATCCAGTGGTCTATCATAAGCATTTTCTGGTGAAAGATTATCATAAACTGACAATTTTAAAGAGTTCTCACCTGGGTCATTTTCACTATTAGATGTGACTGGTTCCTTTTTATTATCAGATGCAAATCTTTGCTGTAAAGTAGGAGTAATTTTTGCAGCTTTTATGTGAACAGCATTTTGCATTGGTGGTGTTATATCTTGTGTTCCATCTTTGTGAATATTTCGAGCATGTTTTGCCATGGCTCTTAACTCCTTAGGGTATGGAGTAGGAGCTCTTCTTAATTGTCCAGGTTTCTCAGGAACTCTTGCTGTGGCCTTCATATCTACAAAACTAATGTGTCGCACAGATGATTGTGGCTCTGTACTTTCTGGCTTTTCACAATCACTTCTAACATCAATGGGACTTAAAGGCACTTGGGGGAACAGAAAACAAGTTAGAACTTGTTCATATGTATGGGGATCTACCTCAGAATGCATAGGCACTAAAGGTTTACTTTGATTTTCAGAGAGCCAAAGAGCTACTAAATTATCACAATTTAATAAGGATTGGGGAAGACAAGTCAGAGAATTTCTCACTAAATTTAAGACTCTTAAAGAAGACAAATGCCCAATCTCTGGAGGGATTTTAATCAATTTATTTGCTCGAAGTGATAACACAGACAATTTTGTGCAACTTCCAATTTCTGGAGGAATTGCTTTCAACATATTGTCATCTACATTCAAATATTGTAATTTTCTTAACAGTCCAATAGAAGAAGGTATTTTGTCTAAATAATTACACATAAGCATTAATTCTTCCAAACTTCTCAGTTGTCCTATACTTTCTGGTAATGAATATAGTCTATTGTTATCTAGTTTTAGAGAAGTCAAATTACACAGCAGTCCAATGCTATCTGGTAGTTGTGTCAGGCTGTTAATGGATAAGCTGAGGTCTAATAATTGGGTGCAATTTCCAATTTCAGGTGCAATTTCTTCAATCATATTATTACTTGCCTCTAGATGAATTAAGCTTTCTAGGGGCTTAATAATAGCTGGTATGTTGGTAAAGCTATTGCTGTCAATCCATAACTCTCTTAGCTTCAGAAAACGTCCAATGACCTCAGGAAATTGTTGGAACTCATTCTGTCCTATATCCAATCGTAAGAGTTCTGTTGAGCGTGATAGAGACTTAGGTAAGATCATAAGGTAATTGTCTCTCAATTCAAGAATATTGAGATTTGCCAATCTACCAAAATTACCTGGTAAATATTCTAAATATGTATCATTAAGATACAATTCTTTTAAAGCTATAAGGTTCGTAATAGCATCTGGCAGTTTTTCCAAGGGATTAACACTGAGATCTAAAAACATTAGATACTTGAGGGCCTTCATATTTTCAGGTAAAGATGCTAACGTATTTCTGCTGATATTAAGATGTTGTAAATTGACTAAAGAAGATATAGCAGTAGGAATCGCCTGTAATTCATTATCACTGAGATCTAAATATTTTAAGCCATGGCACATAAAAAGTTGGCGAGGTAACTCAGTTATTCGATTACTCTGACAAAACAGAGTTTCTAATGTTCTCTCATAAATGAACACATCTGTTGGGACGTCCGTTAAAGACTGGTGAGAATAATCTAGCTCCACAACATCTTCAACACCTGGCCTCACACAGCATAAAAAGTCGAATGGCATTTTTCAACAAACACTTCCAATAATATACGAGAAATAGTAGTAATACGCACTTCACTCATGCCCAAATAATAAATTGCCCATCATTAATTTTTTAAACACGATCTTATTTTATAAATATTTGCATAGGATTCACTAAATTAATAAAAAATTAGATTTTATGTTATTGAGTTTAGAATGATTCACATAGACCATAAAAAATGTACCTACATCCTTCATCCCGTCTGGCTGAATCGCACATAGATAGAAACAAATCACAGATAATAGATTGCAGTATTATAGAATGTTCTCCGCTGTGAGGATTTTATAAGTTTGGTACGTATAGTTTGCAGTTATCTAGCCCGGTGGCTTGGCTAAGCTATCAGCAGCTTTACCGGAAGAGTTACATGGATAAACGCGGACTCAAGCGAAACATTGAAACAAATGCAGGACGTATTTGTAGTTGCACCTCCGCAAACTTTGTTACATTGTTAACAATTTAACGAAAGAACATTTCAACTTAGAAGGGCACTCAATACTTTGATTATATACTTGTCTTAATTTTTATTTATTTATTTATATATCACCAACAAAGTACCTACCGAAACAGAAAAAACAAGGTTTATAAAAAAGTGATAAGTGGTACCTTAAATAATATAGGTAAAAACTACTTTTTAACAGACAGTCGAGATACAACCAAAAAATTGTTACAAAATTAGAGGTGAAATACGAACATTGTAATAATAAAAACATTAAACTAGATATATACAGTAAAAATAGAAAAAAAAAACCTTGTCTAGATGCCACATTTAACAACTTACCAAACAGCACAAATAAAGTCTACTAAAAATAGTAGACTCGCGTCTCACCTATGTCAGTGTCATTTGAATTACTTAAGGCTAACGTGCTCACGTAAAATGATTTGTTACGCCGGTTTGTGATGTCAAATATGGAAACTCCGTAAAATAACACCAAGACACTTTTCGCCACTATTCGGTAAGTTTTGTTATAAGCACTGTTAATTTTAAAAAACAAAATTTTTTAAATCGTTATTTCTTAGGTTAGTCTGGTTAGCGAGTGTTGTCAGCTTATTACTAGGAAGTTTTGAGAAAACTATTAGAGACAAAATACAAATATCATTCGATCATTTTTCGATCAGAACATCATTATTTAAAAAATTACATTATTTATTTGATCCGTAAGTGATAAATTACCTACACAAAATAAATGTAACCCATGTCGTCTTGCAATAAATAGTAATTTTGTTTGTTCTTTCTTTTATTTTTGGGTTTCAGATTTCTTACCGATTCCATACTAGCAAATCGCCGGAACGACATTATACAGCAGACATGAAATGAAGACCAGTGGAAACTTCACAAGCCTGTTAATACTAAGAATAGAAAAAATATTTATAAATAATATGTCACCATATTTGGAAATCAGATTTATATATATGGCATGAAATGTGCGGAATGAAATTAAATAAAACTCACAAATGTGCTCACTATTAATTGTATTTACATCAGAAGAACTTTAGATGTGTTCACAATATTTTCACCCTTAAAATAATGTTATTGTTAACAAAGCAAATAGACCGTTGTGTTCTCAGCGGCGAGTGTGGAGGCAGAGGGAAGTCCCCAGTCGCCGACCACTCGGAGGCGACTCGATTGCAAAGCGCGAGTCGCGCGCTTATTGCGCGTTAAATTTAAATTAGACGCGGCGGTTGTTTTAATCCGCCACATCCGCCACGCCCCTAGGCAGAAAATTAGCCCATCCAAAAAAATAAAAAAACAAAACATGTAATAAAATCTAAACCTAAACATAAACAAACAACATGCTTATAATCTATTATGAGAAGGATGAATGGAAGAGCATTTAAAGTAAATTACAGGTTCAAACGGTCTTTAAAATGGAAGCTACGACCTGAGCGGGTAGTGTAAGCGGGAGGTGTTGCGAAGTGTTTAATATACATGCAGGAGGCGCAGCTGGGACAACTAGAGTTGCAGCTGGATTAGGCAAAGCAGGTGAGTTAGCAGTTCGAACTCCAGGTGCTGACGGTACCGAATTGTCTGCGATGTATGCCGGTTTTACACGGTCAAGACTCACTTGCGTGTTTCTGTCACCGACAGTGATCGTTATTGTCTTCTCCGTTCTAGACACTACCTTATGAGGTCCACTGTAGGGCGGCTTGAGAGAAGGTCTGACTGTATCATCTCTCAAGAAGACGTGTGTAGCAGTCAAGAGGTCCTTCGAAACGAAGACTGGCTGCTGACCATGGCGGGAGGCAGGTGTTGGCCTCAGTCGTGCCATCTGCAGGCGGAGTTGAGTGGCGAAGTTGCTTAAGTCCTCGACGCGATCTGGAGCTGGAGAAGGGGCAATGAGTTCACCGGGCAAGCGCAAGGGTTGCCCGTAAACAAGCTGGGCCGGTGAGCATTGCAGGTCCTCTTTGAGAGCTGCGCGCATGCCGAGTAGGACCACAGGCAGCGACTTGTGCCATGTTTCCTCGTGGCACATCAAAGCGGCTTTAAGTTGCCTGTGCATGCGTTCGACGAGGCCGTTCGCGCACGGGTGGTAACTTGTGGTGCGAACGCGTTTGCTGCCACACATCTACATGAGGGTCTGAAAAAGAGACGACTCGAATTGACGACCCTGGTCGGTCGTCACGATGGTGGGCACGCCGAAACGAGCGATCCAACCTCTAAAAAAGGTTTCTGCGCACTCCTCCGCTGTCATGTTAACCATTGGGCAAGCCTCTGGCCACCGAGTAAATCTGTCGACAGCCGTCAGACAGTACTGGAATCGCTTACTGGAAGGGAGAGGGCCAATGATGTCAATATGCACGTGGTAAAATCGTGCGGTTGGTGCAGAAAAATTACCAAGAGGAGTCAATGTGTGCCGAGAAATCTTGCTGCGTTGACAAACAGTACAAGCACGAGACCATTTGTAGCAGTCTTTGTGTATATTCGGCCACACAAAACGCTCAGCTACCATGCGTGCGGTTGCCCGCGCGCCGGGGTGGCTGAGATTGTGAATTTTGTCATAGTAAGAACGGCGAAAAGAAGATGTAAGAAATGGACGAGGTTTGGAGACGTCACAGAAAATTTCATCGTCGGAACCAGGAACCAATACTTTTTCTAGTTTTACTAAAGAAGGCGAGAGGCTGCCAGGAGTCAATAACGAGCTGTTGTAAACAAGCGCCAACATGGGTGGACGAAGCATCGGTGAATAAACCAAGTTTAGCGTCTGGTACAGGGTGGGCAAGAAGCGTCGCATTCGCAAGATGGTCCTTGCATTTCTGGAACGCGGGTGTGGAGCTCCGGTGTCCACGGAACTGGTTGCGACCCTTTAAGCTGACCCGACACGTAACTGTCGATTAACGGCGCTTGGAGTTCTGCAGCATGTGGCAGAAAGCGGCGGTAAAAATTCACCATACCGAGGAATCTGCGAAGGCCTTCAACTGTTTTAGGTGGAGGGAAATCCCGCAGGGCTTCGATGCGCTCAGGAGGCGGACAAGTACCCGATTTGCTAACCTTGTATCCGAGGAAAGTTACTTCATCTGCGCTAAGCACACATTTCGATGGGTTGACAACAACACCGTATTGCGATAAGCGCTTGAATAGAGCGCGAAGATGGTCAACATGGTCCTCAGTGGTCTTTGAGAAAACGAG